TATATATTAAAAGGCATGATGTTATATGGCATTTTGATTAAATTAGAAACAATTTCAAATGCTGTTACAGCACGTAAACTATTATTACGAATTTTGTCGGATTTTTTTCTTTTCTGTTTGAAATAATTATAGAGATAGAAAAAGAAAAGATATTATTACAAAATTACAAATGAATAAACAATGTAAACGCTCGGTTTCTTCTTCGAATGAAAAATCGTGTAAGTATTACGACAAAGCCACTGTTCGATTCTCATTATTATAACACCTCTTGCTACAATTTAGATTCTATCATTATATATATATATTTTAGTTTCACAATTTCTGAAATCTAGATAAAATTTATTAAAAAAGAAAAACAATTGCAATATTTTTTTTCTTTCTTCTAGATTTCAGATAAAAATGAATAACAATATGTACGAGGATGTGACAAATGAAAATCAATTTGATGCTGTTGTATCTACGTATTTTTAAAATATGCATTTTTTCTCAATCTATTCGAGTGCAGTTAAAAATAGAGCATCAAGTTAATTTGAACTATGCATCATCGACAATAACGGGTTGAATCAAATGTATATTAGCGAATACCATGGAAAACATTGATTTTTACAGCTAATACAAAAAAACCTTTATACACTGGACTGCCAACACACGTTATAACATACATGCTGCTTTTCTAAGTTTAAACATAGTTCTTCTATACTTCGTTTTCTATTTAATGTAAATATTACTCGGAACACACTATCTTTCTATCTATCTATCTATCTATCTATCTCTATCTTTCTCTTTCTTCTTTGTATATTTGCCTGTTAGTTAATACATTGATACATCATTCATTTCTAATTTAGAATAGTTTTTAGAAAACATTAGTCTAGTTGTAGCACAGACTACATTACACGCAAAAGGACTATTTAAAGAAGAAAAATACTATCTTTTTATATTTTTATCTTTTTTCTTATATACTTATATTTATATATATATATATATATATATATTTTTCTTTCACTTTTTTTTTTTTTGGATTCTCATAAGATAATTAATCGCACAGTACAGAAACAACACGCGATTACGAATGGCAATTAGTTTTTTTATTTGCGTATAGAGAGGAGATAAACTTTTTTTTTTGTTGTTGTCTTATTTTGATAAACAACTGGACTGTGACGTTGGACGATTAAAAAAAAAAAAATAGATAAAACAAATATACGTAGACACACTCTCTCTCTCTCTCTCTCGAGTGACAGTCGGACGTGCTAAAAATATACAGAATAACACTCTAGACGTGTTGTGGAATGTGTGTGATGCACCCCCTGTGAATGTGTCCTGGTGGCTTGCAGACTCAGACCAGGAGGACCATTCTCACAACTCGGGACGTTTTCTCAGAAAACCGCTAGGTAAGTTGTTTAAGTTTGAGAGAGAAACTAGCAGATCTCATTGTGTATACTCTCTTACTTTTTTATATATATTATATAGATATATATATATGAAACATTTAGATGTGTTTTTATTGTCACGAGCGTTACGACCTTCTGTTGAATTCTCGCATTTCTTTATCGCATTTTATGTTCTCCATAACAGTATATCAGTTTCGAGAGACAGTCATAGCAACAGCTCGTATATATATACACACGATGTTATTATTATTTTTTAATCGGTTTTTTTTTATCTAATTATTATCGTGTTATACGAAAGTTTAAACATAATATCGGGTTGCTCGTATAAAACACGTGCCAATTTAAAAGATAAAATAATATAATGGTAAATTAAATAGTAATAGTTTTATTTTTATTTCTATGTATGTATTATGTGTGTATATAATTGTAGAATTATTATAATTATGTGTTAAAATTATGTTAAATTCTTTCAATCAAGTCATGTTTCATCTCGTGTCATTTTTTTTCTTTAAATATGTATAATATTCTTATTACTGTTTAATGAAGTATTTATGAGTATTTTTTTTTTATAGAATTATACTGATAAAATTGTCCTGTTAAAAACTGGAGCACTCAGAATTATATTCAAAATTTCTTATTTATTATTTATAATTCAGCAGTACTATTTCGAGCAACTCGATATTACAAGATATTATAAAAAGAAAATATTTAAAAAAAACTTCTTGTAAACAAAATATAAAACAAAATCACGTTAATTTAATATTTACAATTAAGAAAACGTGTTCGTATTGAGTTACAGTTTGTACAAGGCTGATAATTATAAATATTCGCGTGTTTAGTCAACATCGTAACATGTGTAAAATACTCGTGGATAATTATTTCAATAACTTAACGATACATTTGTATATTTGATTCGTTTAATTATTCTTTATATTTATTTTCCAATTACGTGGTATGTCAAAAATGATTGCAAATAAAAGATCGGCACTTTAAAAGAAAGAAAAATAAATCAATATTTGCGCGTGTAAACACATACATCAACACACACACATAAACACATACATTAGTTGTTGTTTTATTATTATTGATAAAGAAAATAATTATGATTCTGTTTAAAATGTATATATTATTATTGTTTTCAGATTTCGAGGCCGGTGAAGACGGTGATGACAGCAGCGGTGGCGGAAATTCTTGGCGCGAAGAACTTCAACGTCGTTATCAACAAGAAAATGATTTTCTTGCTGAATTGAGAGCGAGGAATGTTAATATTTCACAAAGTGAACGCACCTCGGCGACTTCGTTGAACGAACAGGAACAGGAGAGAGGTGACAGGGAAGAAGCGGAGGGTGGTGGAAAGGAAGATGAAAATGAAACCGATTGGTCGGAGGCCGTGAAAAGATGGGTAAATCGATAAATTTCAAAATTAACCTTTTCCCAAAGAGAAGGAGAAGAAGGGCTTGGGGTAGGGGAGGGAAGTTAATACGTAGAATATAAAAAATGCAGATGAAGAAAATAAAAATGAAGAAAAAGAAGAATATAATAATAAGATATATTCAAGATCGAGATAAACTGCACCGACAATTTTTATTTAAGTTTTTAGGTAAGAAGCCAAAAGATGATGTGTATTTTTCACGTCTCAATTTAATTATTATTAATTTTTCAATGGCATACATTTTTACGAAGTAATTAATATTAATAATTAATATACGTAGTTAGTTTCTTTTCTTTTTTTTCTAATGATATGACTTTTCCTATGTTTTTCATATTTTTTAAACCAAACCACTCGCATTTATAAATTCGATATATAAAGTAGGAATAACGAAATAGTTTTTTTTTTTTTTTTGTTTAATAGGAAAAATCGCACAAATTAATAAGTAATATTAACGATATACATTCTGCTCTGATTAGTTTTGTTATTTGTCTCGATGTAAGTGTTAACATTTCGAAAAAAGAAAAAGAAAAGAAAAGAAAAGAAAATGAGGACGAGGAGAGGATGAAAGAGGCTTTCGGAGCTTTTCTTTTCCATTCTCGCATTATTTTTCTTTCTCAGCCTTGCATTTACGTCTAATAAAAAAAAAATAGGGAAGGAATAAAAAAAAAAACAAAAAAAAAACAGAAAAGAAGCAAGAAAATATACATATATTATACATACACGTGTACGCAATTTAACAAAAAGGAAAACAAACAAAAATAATAATAATAATTATTATAATTATTATAATAACGTTACACACCGAGAAAGTCCATGTATTATCGAACATATTAGTGTTACGGTGAAATGAAAAAACAAAAATGAAGTAGAAGCAAATGAATCTGATTGGAGATAATGAGGGTTGAAGATTTCAATGTAATAAACAAATCTTTTATAAAATCCGTAAAATAACAACAAAATATCTTTGAGGCTTACGATATATACATATATAGGGGCATGTGTAATTTTTTTATACCTTCATACCAGTTTAAAATTTCACAATATCTATACATAAATACATAGAGAACTTGGGAATCGACTAATATGAGAATACGTTAAAAAGCTTTGCTATAATATTTCAAGATATAGATAGATATATATATATATATAAATATAGAAAAAGAGGTCAAAGTTCACATACCTTACACACTATGAATTCGTTCGCTTTTCTTAATCGATACAAAAAACTTACCTCCAAGTTAATGGCACATAAATTATATTTTTATTATTATTATTTAATAATAAACAAGAGAGAATATCAATGAAATATTCGATCGTGACAACGAGAGAAGAATTTAATAAATAAAATCTAAAGGAACAAAATAATATTCGAATTAAAATATTTTTATTTGAAAATGAATGAACATTTTATCTCAGACATACACACACACACACATTAATTAATTTAAATGAATAATTTATGATCCAATTACACTTGGAGGTATGAAATCGTATGTACATAAAAGACAATTTTTTTACCAAAATACTCGCATAATATTCGATTAATTTCTATCGTTAAATAATACTTAGACGGATGGATGTTGGGGGTTGGGGGCGGAGGGAAGGTTGGTCGTGCGAAGGAATTTAAACAAATTGTTTGTGCGAGAACATACATTCGCAAAAAATGAAATGTGACGACCGCCTTTTTCCTTGTATATGTATATAAAATATTTTAATCCTTTTTTTTTTGTTGTTGGTTTTAGAAAATTCTTAAATTAATTGATCTTACAATTAAAAAAGTTGCGTTTATTTTCGGAGTATGTAGTCGAGTTAACGATATGTATTTTCCATCTATCCAATCTCATACTAGACAATCTAACAACACAAACAAAACGATGCTTATCATTTATTTATTGAAGGATTTTCAACGATTTTATTATGTAAGTAGAAATTCTGCGTCCTGCACATTTCGTAATATCAACACAACAGAGTACAATTGCTGATACATGTATGCGTTTACACAAATATAAATGAAATCGTGAGGAATGTTATTGTTTAATTGGTATATTCAAATTATTTACCGATTGCTACATTTGATATCAGTGGTTTCCAAAATTTGTTAGATTTTCGGTATCCTTGTTGAGTCGAAATTTTTCCTCAAGATATCGTTCTACGTTTCAAATTCTATTAAATATATAAAATAACTAATAATTTTGTTAGATAAAAATAATTAACATACATACACACACACACACACACATGCACATATATATTCAAAAACAAATGTAATTTAACAAATTCAATTAATTTGTCATTCCTTTTCCACATCGATTTTCGATACTTACGATTAGATTCTATCAGCTAGCAATTACTCTGAAAAGCCAATTACAAAAACAAATACAAAATTAAAAGTTTAATTAAATTGCATCCATCACAACCACTGTGTAAAATTTATGATACTCAGGAGACACCGAAATGCAAACTTTGGGTACCACTGTCATATTTTATATTGCAATGCGCGTAATACATAAATAAACAAAAACATGTATGTATATGTAATATGTGTATATGTTTGCATGTATAGGTAAATGTACTCTGGACAAATTCATACACAAATATATGTATAATACATATACGTGGAAGAATAATTTATGCATACTCGTATATGTATATGTGCATCATTTCCTATACTTGTTTGTCTATACGAATATCCTACGGAGAAAAGAAAAAAAACAAAACGTAAGAATAAACAAAAAACAAATAAGCAAATTCTATGTAGCGACTACACGATTCGAGTATTGAATAAAAAAATGAAGGGATAGTCAATGAGTAGTAGTATCAATCGGTTTTTTCATAGCCCACTATAATTTTGATTCATTAATTGTAAGATTATTTTGTTTTATGATGATGATATCCGTCAAAGAAGAAAACGTCTCGAAAGGTAATTTTTTATCTTGTATTTTTCTCTTTTTATCTTTTTTGTGACATTTATTTAATTGATATTTTTGTATTCGTTCTTCTATGCAGCTCGATTTAAGGAAATGAAAAAACGTCAAGAATTATATATTTTTCGTGAAAGCTTATCACTTAACAATATATGCAAGACAAAATTAAATTTATGCAAGTTGGTTATAATTGGTCAAGAAGGAAATTCGTTATCATTGAACGATCTATCGAAACTCGTTTATTTGCAAGAATTATGGCTGGTCGAGTGCAATTTAAAAGTGCATTATATACAATACTTCTTTATTATTATTTTTGTTATGTTATGTTATTTATCTATTTATTTATTTATTTTTCTTTTCAGGATATATCCTCGTTGAAAGAATGTACGAAATTGGAAAAGCTTTACGTTTATTCGAACGAAATCGAACGAATTCCAAATCTATCCAAAATTACTGGGCTTGCAATTATTTCGTTATCGGGAAACAAGATTGATCGTTTAACGGTATTAAATGATATCTCTCATATTATTTTTAAATAATATCGGAAGATATATATTTGCCAATATTTATGAAAGATAAAATAATCAAATTAACACGGGGAGAAACAAAATTGGTAATAATAATTCGATAATTAATTATTATTCGAACGATATATATATATAAATATAGAATATCGACAAGTTGGAAAACTTAGAGGAACTTAATGTGGCCGATAACAAATTGAAAAGGTTGCCAAATATTTTCACGAAAAATTATAACTTGAAATACATCAATCTGGCGGGTAATCATCTGTATCATATCAAAGTATTATATAAACTTGTATATTTATTTAATTTTTTATTTTTTTTTCTTTATTTATTAATACGTGTTCTACGATATTTCACAGGACATGAAAAATTTACGGCCAGTGACAAAATTAGAGTCAGTTGTTTTGAATGATCCACTTTACGGTGACTGTCCATTAGCACGTCTTTGCAATTATCGCTGTTACGTTTTTTATTGGCTTCCACAAATTAGCAGACTCGATCATTATCCAATAGACGATGCGGAAAGACATTGGATCGATACTTTTTTCAAGTATCCTTCTTACATTTTTTATTATTCACTTGTGTGTGTGTGTAGATAAAAAAACAAAATCTTTTAAACAAAATTACAGGAAGAATATGATGCGTTGTAAAATTGTATTGCACGATAATATGAATGTTTATTTGAAATCTTTGAAAGACATGCACGAAAAATTTCAAGACAACGAGAAACACTTAAAACATTTGCTTCGCGATATGAACATTTTCAAATTGCAGGTTTAATAATATTTAATAATAATTAAAGGATTGTATGAATAAATGTCGATTGTAAAATGCTGCAATTTTTAATCTGAATTAGTCTAATTTAGAAACGAATAAAGAATTAATTGCATCGGAAAAAGGAACGTTGTCTTTGATGGAATATCATGAAAAAATATTAAAGGAAAGTGAAGAAATGGCTTCGATATATTTTCAAGTGAGAACACTTTTATCATGCGATTAAATTTCAATTTTTATTTAATTTTTTTGTTTTTTTTTTCGAGTTAGATCACTTGTCGACAATTAAAATTGCATATTCGTTACTGCGATAATGTTCGTCTACGAGAATATAAAAACAAAGGGGAAGATTTAATGAAAATTTGTCAGATTACATTGGAAGAATCTTTGTGTTCTTTAACAAAAAAGTATGAAACGTTTTATCATTTGTCTCATTAATATTTCTATTCATTGTTTATTTAAAAGTTAGTAAATCTTTGATAGGGAAACCAATATAACAGGAATACGTTTGTATCGAGTCACAGAGGTTTTTCACAAGGAAATAAACGAGTATCGTAATTGGAATAATCAAATCGATACTTTGCATGAAAAGGAGAAAAGTTTGAAGCTTTTAGCCAGCATGCCAGGAGTTCGAAGTATTCGTGAATGGCCAATGAACGTCCTTAAAAGCGAATTTTATAATCAAGTTAACTATATTTCCAATCGATTTTTCATCCAATATTAATTAGATTATTTTTTTTTTTAGCGATTTGCTATAGAATGAATTTAGTACTATACAAAAATTCAACAATTTAATAATAAAACTTAAAACTTTTAACAATAAAATAATCTTAAAACTTTTTCAACATCAAACATACTTGTTTTTAATATTATTGAATATTTTGATCCTTAATAAAATATAGTTTCTTTATTGGTTCGCTATCAAATTAATTTAGTTTCTTACAAACAATATTTGATACATTTCTAGGAAAGAATTCGTATAACAAATTGTTTAGCCATTGCCGATGCTAAATTTTACGATAAATTGCGAAAGAAAATCCTTTTTGATTCTTGCGAGAAAAGAAGAGTTTCTATTTTTGTACAGGTACCATTTCATCGTTGTACTTTAATGTAAGTATTTCAAATTATGAATATTATCAAATTGTAAAGACATTAATGAAAATTCATTGAAATAATGTTTTCATTTGAAATTAACTTCATTTTATTTGGAATATAAAATGAAGGGAACGATACACCGATGAAATTCATTCATCGAAAACGAAACTAATTGAAGAAGACGTTCATCGATCATGCCAAATGTACGTTTTAAATGAAGCATATTTATTTGATACTGTATTCGTTGCTGAATATGAATACATATTTGAGGTATATATTGAAAAATAGTATAATAATGAAATATTTCTAAATATTCTATTATTTGTCTAATGAAAATAATTCGTGCGTCTGATAGAACGATTCGAATGACAATGATAAAAAAGAAATACAAAATTTGCATTATCCTGCAACTTCATCATTCGAACATTTAACTCGACAAAACATCATATTGTTTTTACGAATAAACGAAGACAAATTTATGACATTACAAAAATTAAGTTTAACTGGACAAAATATCAAGACTCTTCAGGATGATTCTATAAAATTACCAAATTTGAGGGAACTCGATTTATCTTATAATCGTCTCGAACAATTTCCAAATGATCAAATGATCGTTAACGTTAACAAAATCAACATAAGTTTCAACGAAATACGAACAATTATAATAAAGGACAAATTGTTGGCATTGGAAGTGCTCGATATTTCATGGAATTGTTTAACAAAGTGTAACGAAAATCTTAAAACTTTGAAAATGTTTAGCCCAAATTTGAAGACATTGAATATTGAAAAAAATCAGTTTTCCGATATCGTCGAACGCGATAAAATCGTTTTATTAACGCGTGTATACTTTCCAAAGCTAGAAAATTATTTTGACTCATTAGATTCGAAAGATTGTAAAAATTTGAGCCTAAAAATGGCTCGCAATACATTGTCAGAATTTTATGATCGACATCCAACAATTTTTATTTCACATCGTCCGATTCGTCGAGTGCATTTGAAAAAACCGTCAATGTATTTGGTACGATTGCATTTGAACGACAATTGCATCAGCGATCTCGATGGTTTGACACAAGAACACTTGCCAAGATTGAAGTATCTCGACTTGACCAACAATTTGATAACGTCCTTGAAATCATTAGGTTCGTATAATACTATAATGGAACTTTATTGTGCTCACAATATGATTAGAGAATTAAAAGATATTGAGAATCTACAAAATTGGCATAAATTACAAGTTATTGATCTTTGTTACAATCCAATTGAATCCGCAGTCGTTTATAAAGATTTTCTTGTCTTTCATTTGATCGATCTCAAGGTATTTAGACATTTCATTTATAAATTTTATTTATTTCATTATATGTAGATATGAGAATAATATGTTTGTTTATAATTAACAGTACATTTCTGGACAATGTGTAGAAAAATCAAATATCGTAGAGACAAGGAACACATTTGGAAATATATTGAATAAAAATATGTTGTTAAACATGAATGTTGGAATAAAATTAGCCAATCTCAGACAATTGGATGTCGTTAAGTGTTCTATTAAAAAGGTTCCTTTTCAATGTTTAATAAAATACGTATGTATTACTAAATAGATTGCTACAAAAATATTTTTAATCAATATTGTCATACAGATAAATTTACCTTCCAATTTGTTGCCTCATTTGGAGAGCGTAGATTTAAGTAGAAATCAAATAATCTCTATGGAAAGTTTAAATACACTTCCTAAGCTGAAAACCTTACGTTTGAGCTACAATCGTTTGGAGACATTCCAATTGGATAGATCGAACAATTTTGATGGCTTTCCTAATTTATCTACTTTATATTTGGATCATAATCGTATTGCCTCAATAACGTGGGACGACGATTGCAACGTATTTCCGACATTGAAACATCTTTTTTTACATCATAATAAACTTTCTAACGTTTACGGTAATCTTACGGTTTTTTTTTATTTAATATTACAGTACTATTTTTTTTATATATATTTAATAATTCGTCATATTTTTCAAGGTCTACGAGAGAATTCTACTTTGGAAATTCTAATTTTAGATCACAATAAAATCGAAAGTATAAAGGAAGATTCTTTCAATGCAAATAATATAATTACCTGTTTATCCATCGAGAGTAATCAAATTGAAAATTTGAGTTTTGTTAAACGATTGTCACGTTTAAAACAATTGTATATAGCAGATAATCTTATAGCTGTAAGCTATATACAATCTCGTAATATTCGTATTCTTCTTTATTTATTATTTTATTGTAAATCAATATTTTTTTTCAGAACGAAGACGAATTAGAAAAGTTAACATTGTTGGAAAACTTAAAAGAATTGACTCTCTCAGGCAATCCATTCTATAAAACAATTAATTATTATAAATTTTGTTTACGTTGTTTAGCTAAAATACAAAATATCGATGGGTTTGATTTATCGAATAAGACTTGCCCTTGCCAAGATCTTTCTATGTACGAAAGCGTGCAAATACATTCAACATCAGAAAACTAATCGTATTTTACGTAAAGGTTCCTTAATGATTAAATTATAATTTTTCGTAACAAAATATATGGTACATATTTAATCTTTAACATTTCACTCTAAGCAAAGCAATAAAGCTTTCTATTGTTTCTTGTAATACGACTTTACTATTAAAATATTTTTAAATATCAATAACTAATGAAATATTTAATTAATTAAGCTAGCAATTAAAGATTTTGAATGAGCAATTAAGAGCATGTATTTATTTGTTTCTGCGTTAGGTTTTTTTACTGTCGGTAATTCTGATGGTAAGTTATCATCAGATCTCCGTCGGTAATACGACTTACCGACCGAAAATATTTTAAATTATAAATAAATAACAAAATATTTAATTAATAATAAAGATTTTGAATGAGCAATTAAGAGCATGTATTTATTTGTTTCTGCGTTAGGTTTTTTTACTGTCGGTAATTCTGATGGTAAGTTACCATCAGATCTCTGTCGGTAATACGACTTACCGACCGAAAATATTTTAAATTATAAATAAATAACAAAATATTTAATTAATTAAGCGAGCAATTAGAGTTTTTGAATGAGCAATTAAGGAGCAATTAAGAGCATGTATTTATTTGTTTCTGCGTTAGGTTTTATTACTGTCGGTAATACTGATGGTAAGTTACCATCAGATCTCGGTCGGTAATACAACTTACCGACCGAAAATATTTTTAATTATAAATAAATAACAAAATATTTAATTAATAATAGGGATTTTTAATGAGCAATTAAGAGCACTTATTCATTTGTTTCTGCGTTAGGTTTTTTTTTGTCGGTAAGGTAAAGGTAGAGCACTACAATTACCGATATGAGGCTAAAAAATGTTACTAGAATTCAATATATTTTAAACTTTCTTATTTCCTAGTAACTTTTAATAGCAAGTAGTATACACAAAGTGAATGTGTAATTAAATTCTCTATACATTTAAAGACAAATAACAATTAAAAATCTAATATAGATACTTTGTTTTAATTATTAATTAAAGGAGTTTACTTGTAAAGAACGATTATCTTGGAAAAGGTACTGAAAAAAAGAATTACTAGATTAAAAAAAAAGACCGATATCATATTGGAGCTAGAAAGACTGAAGAAAAATGGACAAACATAAATTCAGCACTTGATTGAAAACAAGAAACAATAGAAAACTTTATGGCTTTGCTTAGAGTGAAATGTTAAAGATTAAATATGTAGAATTTAATTATTTACGAAAAATTGTAATCTAATCATTAAGGAATCCTTATGTAAAACATACTAACTTTCTTTATATACGGCTGATAATTTAAAAAGTATGTGTGACTAAACAGATACATGCTAAATATATATTAATTTATTTCATTTCCAGTACATGTGTGTTTTTATTAATTCTTCAAGATACAAAGACCAAACGTTTATTCAAAAATGCATTTTATAAGCTGCACTACGATTAATTTTGCCTTAATTAACCTCTTTGTTAATTTGTTATTTGTCTATCATGCAACAGGTAGCCATTACTTTTTATACATATGATTATATATATATATATTTTAATAAATAAATAATCTCAAGATACATTACATTTTTAGGAGAAAATAATAATGTTAATAAGAACAGTAATAGTAATAAGAATATTAAGAATACTAATGTAGCATTACAAGATAATACTCCAAAACTTCCTGTGATAACTGACGCAGAATTGCAACGAATAACAGAGGATTTGTTTCAAAGGGATACATGTTGTATTTACAGAAATATAACAGTGAGTTTTCAAGGATGGATACAAAGAGAAAATGTAACAGACAATGCTCCAAAACCGTATGACATTTCAATCAATTTATTATTTTATACATTGTATTTAATTGACTATGCAATACCTTTTTTACTTTTGTCTTTGATATTTTAATTTTAGATTGTTTAGAATTCCCACGACTGTCTTGTCACATCCGTCAATAAATAAACTAAACAAGCTTTTTGATAATTATGAAGTGGATATAAGTAAAACAGAAGTTGTGACCAAAGAAGAAAGCACAGAGGAAGATGATTTCATTAACACTCTTTTGTCTTCCGACATATTAACAACGGCTATGAATTTTCTTGCTACAAAAGGTTACTTCGCAAAGAATACGCAGACGTATAAAACTATATTGAAATCTATTTGGTTCCAACAATACTCAAGAATTAAAGGATCTATTGGTAGTTCAGGATTTGAGCATGTATTTTTAGTAGAAAGAAAAAAGGATAATAGTATCATTGGTTTACATAATTGGATTTATTTTGCTAAACAAGAATCGTTAAATAATGTCAATTATTTTGGTTATGGACGCAAAATTCTTTTCGATAATGTAAGCTATATTTTCAAATAAAAATCATCTATTATAGTATTTAACTTACATATATTAAGGAAGAAAATTGTCTTTTCAGAAAGCTGCACTTGCTAAAATACATTTCAACTTTAAGCAACAACATAAAGTGTCGTCGATGTTGATTGGAACATTACCGGAATTAGAAATAGCTGTTTATACACTATGCTTTTATACTAGACCGAATGAAAGATGCAGAATATCTTTTGCAGCACATAAATTTAATATTCAAACACATACATGGCAACATGATAATAAAAATTTTGTTGGAGCTGCATATCCTCTTATCTAATAATGACAATATATAAGAAAAACGTATGTTCTTTGATATTAACAAAGGTATTATAGTTTATTTGATTTTATATAATATATATATGTATTAATTATATTAAAAATTAATCAATTTGTTAGATAAGAAAAATTGTACAATTTATTGTAATGAAACAATAGCAATCTATATTTGCGTGAATAGCGAATTAGAAATATTTCAAATTTTAGGGAAGAATGAAGAAATAGTTTATTTCAAACATAAGGTAAGCAAAAACAAAAGACTAGATAAGACATAAATTGATATCTTCATAACATTTGAGAAATGATAAATCATAATAAACGTTAACTCAGAAGAGTCATAATTTGTAGCGATATGTTATCTGACAATGTTAAAGGGGTTATAACTTTTCAATCATTATTAATTGGCGAAATTAACTTAAGGTAAAAAATCGCGGTAAATATTTAAACTAGAAGGAAAATTTTGGTTCGATCAATCGAATCGAGACAATCTTTTATGCTTTTTCTGACGTCATAACTGTCTCGTGAATATTTTGTTAGATAACGCATTGAACGTGTGTATTATTGGTTACATGAATAAATACAGGTTAAAGCCAGTTTAATGATTATATCAACAATGTCATGAACTCATTATTTTTATTTTATTTTTCAGGTCGCATTGGATATTTCCAGATCAGAGCAATATGCACGAGAACAGAAAAAAGATTTAAGTAAACAACCAATTGCATATCTTCTTATCGAAAAACTTCTATTATCTGATTGGTCGAATCACGTTTATCGATGCATCTATTAGCCAATAAAAAAAGTAAATTTGCCCTTATATTTTCTAGGGAATCCGTAAAGTATTGTATGCGTATATTTATGTATGTGTACGTAAATATGATTGTTGTCAGGTGTTGGCTAACCTGTCGAGAAAAGTAGAATCGATAGGGACGAGCTTTCGGTTGCTTCGAAACTTCGGGAAGGAAGAATCAGTGGTACCCTTCACTTGGAGAAGACCATATCCCATAAAAACACTAGCCGAACCAACCGGTGACATAATTCATTGAGACATATAGATGCCAGTTAAAGAGTCAACAACATCGAGTTTTCGAAGAGATTTAACCCAACAAGAGCAATTCTACAAAGCCTGTCAACGAAAGTAACGGTAAAAACAAACGTACAACATTTTCCTCTTCTTCGTCAAGCTAGTTTCTACGTGCGTATCATTCCAATATTTCCCTAACTTAAATTATTTTCAAAATTGTTCTATGGAATGCTACTACGCAATAATTTTCTACTTTTTTTTTTTTTTTATGGATGAAATACTCAACTGGATCTTAATTCGTAATAGATCGTTTGTTTGAAATTAGACAGGAACTTAAGCGATCTTGTTACATTTTACATCATCCCTTTTTCATTCCCATGTGTACTGTGCTGTACTTACATAAATGCATAAGCGACCCTGTTCTCTAGGGCTCATACCAGTTTATTTGTCATTTCAACCTTTCTGCTTAAACTGTATTTTTTTTTTTTTTTACTTAACTTTAATTTAACGAATGCTACATTAGTCATAACTAGAGTTTATATTTCTTACTTTTATTTTTATTTACTTACAAATATTGACTTTTTCATCTTTAGATAAATATATAATTATATGTGTCTCGCATCTCTTTGCAAGGGTAGTCTCGAGCTCAGATCGATAACTTCCGCGTGTTATTTTTATTATTATTACTATTATTAATTATCATTATTGTCTAACGAAAAATAATTAAAACGAAAAAACATCTGATTCATCATCGATTCAATTTAATTAACAATCTTTTTATTATTCTTCCGAAATAATAAAAACAAAAAAGGTTTTGTTTGGTTTGTTTTCGCGCCCATTTTTATTGTCACGTTATAATGCCGGCCGAATACGATCGGAACTACCCGAACTTAAACGAACTTCTTGAGTACAGTCGGAAGAACAAATGTCTTCGACAATCAATGGATTGCGATCAAGCGTGCAGAATAAAAAGGAGCGGATAAAAATAATATCAAAATAAAAATCAACAAAATCTTAGGCCTATGAACTTGTGCCAACGATGCAAAACTGGTTTCGAAAAATGATTGAGCTTCGTTCAACGATCGGATCGACGTACTTTTGTTTATTCTCTCCCCTCCCCTTTTCTTATCCTTTCTATTTCCCCTTTCAACCCCTTTCCCCCTTCTCTAGTATCTAGTTTCAAGATATCGTTTTACCTTGCAATTTTTTAACAATGAAATCGAGTTAAATGCAAATATTAATATTTATAATTTTCTTGTGTACTCATTCCCTCTCCACCCCTCTTCCATTTCTCCTCATCTATTTTTGTGCTTTTTATTTTGTACTATATACACATAGATTTGTTCTTTTTTTTTTTAATTTGACAAACATTTCGTATTGACTAATTTGAATCATTTGCGTCGATAGCATTTAAGTGCTATCGAAATTAGATAGCCGGCAGCATTGAACGACTTCGACGACTCGAAGGAAAACAAAAGAAACATATAAAAATAAAAAAAGAAACAAGAAGGAAGATATGCATTGTATCGAAATATGACTTAAAACAAGGAAAACAAAATATAAATTAAATAAAAGAGAACACAAATTTGTGCCATACTGTTGAGTTAAAGGCGGCATACAGCCGCGTATTTTTATTTATTCATTTACGTGCACAAAAATAAATGTGGAATGAGTTATAATTATTGTAATTAATTGCATCGAAAAAGAGAAGGGGAGACATCGATTAACATTCTCGAAAAAAAAAGAAATAATGATTACAAATAAAAAGAGAAGTAAAATTTGCAATATTGTGTTGGATGTAGAATTTGACGCGTCAAGTATTATTTTTGACTTCAAAATTTATGCACAAAAGAAAAATGAGTTTAACTATTGTATTTCAATTAGACCGAGGAAAAAAATGGGAATGCACAATTCCTGTTTTTCATTCTAAAAACATTAATAATAAGAAGAGAGAGAGAGAGATAGAGAGCAAAAATATGTGAGGACAAAAAATGAAATTTCAGATACCGCGTGCACGACGCGTGCCAATCTTCCTCGACATTTGATCGCGCATGATTAATTAACAGTGTATCACGTGTTCAAGAGCTGACAATGTACTCACTACTTGTTTCCTTTTTCCTCTAGATCATTATCATTATGTTGTCAGAATATTGTATTACGTCTTCGTCTTCGTCTTCTTTTTACTCTCCTCTTTTCTCTCCTCGCCACTCCTCTTATTTCTATCCTTTTCTTTTCTTATCTTACTTTTCTGTGCTTTTTATTTTTTACTTTTTTCAATTCTATTTTCTTTTTTTAATTCTTTTTACTCTTTCCCACTCCCCTACTCTCTTCTATTTTGTTTCTCTTTTCCTCTATTAATTTTTTCTTCATTTTATTTTGTATTTTTATAATGAGCAACCTTGTAAACATTGATATTAATCTAGTCGATCTATTTTAATACGATTTATCGTTATTTTTGTATTACTTTTGCATACGAACTTATTGGAAAAAAAATTTAGACGAAAAGTATACGGACAACAATTTATTTTGCATTTTTATGCAAGATGGCTATTACGGTGTTATATTTGATCATATTGATTCGTAAGAAAAAATTCATCGGTAAGTTTAATTCCTTTTGTATTATTCGTCAAACAACATTGTATGGATTTGTACAGAGTATAAAGTCATACTTAGAACGAACTTTGAACTCGAATGAATTTTTCTTATTTCTTTCTCTCTTTCTCTCTCTCTCTCTCTCTGTTTCTCTTTGACAAATATTATTTGCTAATAAATTAAAATGATCTAGACTAGATAATCGAATATTTCGGATTTAACGCGATGGGGTTTGAAGTGTCGGATATTTGATAACTCAGTAGTATTCATAACGTATTTGTTTTAAAACATAAAGAAGGAGAGAAAGAGATTGGAGATTCTTGTTGAACTCTAGAGTCCACGATGGACTTGATTATGTTTATTGACGTCGATGTTGTTATCATTATAATGAAAAAGAACAAAAAAAAAGAAGAAGAAGGAAAATGAAAAGAGAAATAAAACGAGTAAGACAAGACTTAATATAAGTAAAAGCAAGTAGAAAAGATCGAACTATCTGCAGGAGTACGAACATATATATGATCGAGCTTAATCTAACGAAACTTACATTGAAATTATCGTTTTATTTAACGATATATCGTTGCTCGAAATTCGAGGTCAAAGTTGAAAGTTCAGGTGTGTCTAACGAATAAAAGATAACGCGTTTGAGATAATAATAAATATATATATATATATATGTATATATAGTAGAGCAAGCTATAGTTTTGTAGAAAGATTTTGATTTGTCGTAAAAAGATTTCGTTCTTATCGTCGTTTAAGTTCCTTCTCCATTTTCGGCACGATTTATGTATATCATTTTTATTCTCGTTCTTGTTTTTTTTTCTAAAATAGATTTCCTTCCCTCCCCTTCTCCACCTCCTTTACTCGTGTACACGAGTTTTATCGCGTTGAACATCGTTGCGAGATATAATATTTGAGTAATAAAAAAAACAAAAAGAAAGAAAGAAATAAACTATCTATTCATCATATTTTTATTTCGGAGTTGTGTATGTGAATTTCGAAAGAAACACGGAATTATTTCGGATCGTTACGAATTAAAATTGAACAAAATTCGGAAATATCATGTTCATCGTTCATCGAGAGCATCATCGTTGTCGTTTATTATTAACAAAATCAAATAGAGAGAGAGAGAGAGAGAGAGAGAGAGAGAGAGAGAGAGAGAGAAAGAGAGAGAGAGAAATGAAAACACGAAGAGGAACGTGCTTTTCGAGAATGAATCGCGATAGAGGGAGATAACCCTGTGTACTTGGTGGTAACGAGAATGTCTTCTTTGATGTAAGCGACGAAGTGGGGGTGTTGGTTGCTAATGGTATGGTAGTGTGGGGTAAAGAGGGTGTTTTCTTTCTCTCGGTGTTTACGGTGGTTGTGACGGCAAGCAATGGTCAAAAGGTCGCGGCCCCGTCATTGATACTGTCTTAGGAACAACGTACTTTGGACCAATTCGCAAAAACAAATAAACGCAGACGGAAGAGACATGTTTGATTCAGTATCGTTTCAACCACGTTACGAGATTAAACGCTTTTATTATTATTATTATTATTATTATTATTATTCTATCTTTCTCTTTAACGTTCACACACATTTTTTTGCTCATATTTTTCACGTTCCATTGGATTCTCCCCTTTTTCTCTTTCTCTCTCTCTCTTTCTTAGATTATCCCTATCACTTTTTCTCATCGCGATATAATCAAAGAAGCTGACCGATCATAGTCCTTTAGCCTACTGATTAACAGCAACGCACAACGCACATCGGCAATAGAAGAAGCTCAACAAGTAACAACCAACAACAACAACAACAACAGTTGCAACAGTAACAACAGTAACAGCAGCAGCAGCACCAGCTACACACAACTACTACAGTTACAGCAGCTGCTACACTTTGAGAGAAAATAAAAAAAGAGGGGAATAGAGAGATTATATTGAGAGACGACGTCCTTCGGCATCAGTGCACCTTAACCGGAGTTGCGTCGGCTCTTCTCTATATATATACACGGGTTACGCGGATATACGTAGACATTAGTGCAAAGAGTAGGCGAAGAAGTAGAAGTGTGCGCGGATCTACAATTAAACAGAAAGAAAGAGAGAGAGAGAGAGAGAGCGAGACCGACCAACTCGACACGTGACACACCTGAGAAGAGAAAAGACACGACGCGTGTAGAGATACGATAGAAAGAAAACGCGTTCCCCTTTTTTTTTTTTTTTTAAATTAATTAACAAATAAATCAAACAAGTACAACGTGCAGCATATATATTTACGCGAGTGTACCCCGTTCACGGAGATACTAGTTCTTTTTTTTTTTTTTTTATATATATATATTTTTTAACTCTTTTTGATTGATTTTTTTCTCTTTTAATCCCCGTAAAATAAACAACACACACACACACTTAATATACCAACAAAAAGAGAAACAATTTTGTTTTAGTTGTAATCGAAAACTTCTTCTTTCCTTATTGGATTTTTGTTCTTCCCGTTCTTTCCTACTTTTTCTTGTTGTTCTTCTTCTTATTATTATTATTACTATTATTTCTTCTTCTATTTTGAATTAATCCTTGAGAAAATAAAATAAACGCGAACATGTCTAAGATGTCGACGACGAAAAAGAATATGCTCGACGGCATGTTCACAGAATCAGGAAGCTTCACCTCCAACGGAAGCATGATCGTTGTGAGCAACAGGTTGCCGTTCGTGCTGAAGAGAAACGACCTCTCTGGTAAACTGGAACGAAAGGCCAGGTTAGTAGTGGTAATGATAGTAATAATTGTAGTAGTAATAGTAGTAGTAGTTAGTAATTGTAAAATGAATATTGTTTGTCCTTCCACGCACATTCTTATCTTTTTTTCTGTCTTTTTCTTTTTGTCTAGGCGATCTAACGATAAAAAGAAATAGCAAAAAAATACACCTGGTCTTTTCCTTCTATTTTAAACTCGTTCTCATTGCTTTCCTTCTTATTTTTTTATTGTTTATTTTTTACATTCATTGATCTGCATTTTTTCGACAATCGAAAAGATCGAATCGACGAGAGCATAATTCAATTGGTTTATTTTCATGATTATGATTGACAAAGCTTGTACAAGTACAAGAACAATTCTGATGACTCATGGAAACACTCGGCGATATGTTACCATTACTTAGATTATTTATAATCTAATTTTCTTCAATTTTTTTTAGATCATCTATCTAAGAATAACTCGTGATCATATCGTAAATTCATCTTTTATTGTTTTCTTTTAACACTAGAACTGAAAAAAAAGAAACCTATCATAATAATGCAAGTTTTCATTATACTTCATTTTAATTTGATTTGTTTAAACATATATTTATATGGTGTTGTGTAAAATATGTTTGATTTATTTTGAGTTGCAGAAAAAATGGAATATACGAATATATATATTTTGATGATTCATATTTTTATATAAATGAACAATTTTATTCTGTTGATCGATTGGTGTATAGTGTATTTAATAATTAATTAACGTAGAGAGAAATGATTTATTGAAATGACGCCAAATGGGGATGACGCAAAGGGGATTGAAGGGATCGTAATCGATATAAAAAAAGAAGACGCTGTTCTCGAAAGTTACTGTGCTTGTGACCTATTTTTAATACTTTCTTTTCTTTTCATTTACACAATACTTATTTTTCTTCTTATTAAATTAAATTATCTTTAGTTGTGAAATTAATTTAAAAAAAGAAAAAACAATTAGTTAACAAATGGCAAAGAGATAAGAATAATAACCTACTTTTCTTCTTTTACGATATAAATATACGAACAACCTTATATTTACGTAAATAAGAAACACGAGTTTCCTTGAAAATCATTCACGTGAGATTTCGGTTGATTTATCATAGAAAACAAATTTTTCCGCTTTGAGGAACAAGTGTGTTACGTTCATTCAGAGATAAAAATTGAAATTTTGTTTAGGAAGACAAATTGAAAAGATAAGAAAGGAGAGAAAGAATCAAACTGATATAACTTTTCTTTTCTTTTTTTTTTCAATTTCGATAAGTTTTCATTATCGGTACTATTTGCAATATACAGGTCTCAATCTAATAAATTTGATTTAGTATTCAAATATATATTTGAACAAAAATATTTACATAACGTTATCAAAGTTAGAAAGAAAAAGAAGAATATCTTGTTAAAAAAAAGGAAGAAAAAAATAACGTAGACAATATTTTAAAAAATACGTAATTGTATGATAACTCTCTCTCTCTCTCTCTTTCTATTTTTTCTTTTTTTCCAAGCTTAAAGACTACTAGTTGAGAGGTCACGTTGATCGGAATTTTAAGAAACGATAATACGATCACGCAATATTGATTGCATAGTGCATGTGCGTTTCACGGATGGTACATGCGAAAAGTCGGTGATATCAAAAAAGTCATTTGTTTCTTGTAATATGAAAAAAAAACAGAAGAAAAAAAAGAAATAGAAAAAACGATAGAGAGAGAGAGAGAGAGAGAGAGAGAGAGAGATAGGAAGATTTGAAATTTTGGAATTATATCTTATCGTGTATTTATTTTCGTAGATATTCTCTACAAAACAACAACTATTTCTATCTTCGTTGACCAATATATTACATACATCATTCTCTCTCTAACTAATTCTTACAATTTATGATCTCTCTCGGATTTATTATTATTGATTTTAGATTTAACATGATATCGTAAATCGTAACTCACGGCATACTACGATAAAGAGATGATATTTTTTATTTTCATTTTTATTTGATACATATATATATATATATCGCGCGAAGATGTGTGTGTTTTTCCGATACCGATGTTTGTTCTCGTGTTATATCGATTTATAAATACATTTATAAACAATTCAATTGAATTGTTCTTTTGAGAAGAAGTTGCATTAGGAAGTTTGCACTTGCAATTAAAATTGTGTCCCTCATTGTTAACTATCCCATTTTATTCTCTCAAAATTATTTAAGTATTATATATTATTTTCATTGTTATTATTATTATTATTATTGTTTGTTTCCCCAGTGCCGGTGGTCTCGTAACTGCGGTAGCACCTGTCGTAATAAGTGGAAATGGAGTTTGGGTCGGATGGCCTGGCATGCATATGGAAAATCCAAATGAACCGATTCCAGAATCGGATCCTAACGATCGTACGCCAACTGCCGGCCTCTTATCTCGTAAGGTGAGGATTTCAAATAATATTATCATGTTTTTAATCCTCTCATTTATATTTCTAACAGTTCGATTCGATGTTAAAGTATGTTCGATCATTTTTCGAGAAGAATATTCTTCAATTTGGTTCGAGCTGATTAAAAATACTTTAAATTCTTGGTAGAAACGCGTTACCGTTCAATTTGATTCATTCCTTATTCGATATTATTAATAGACGCTAATTTATTTTTGTCCTCGGTTATATCTACAAGCATGTGGCGAACATTGCTATTAGTAATTTCATTTACTTTACCTTCGTATGTTGTATCTACCTGTGTGTGTATGTGTGTTGGTGTTATGTATATATGAGTTTCGTTATTATTTCTAGTATATTCGGATGAGCATAGTTCTTTTTTTAATGTAAATCATTATTTCGAAACTTTCATTAGAGTTAGTTTGAATAATATTTGACTCGAAACGTTAACGTGTCGGTGACGTGGACGATTAGTATGCGGTAACTAAAATATAAACGACGAGATGAGTATTGGCTCTTTTGCCCTTGGCATTCATTATACCTGCGACATTTGATTCTTCGTATTCTTTTTTTTTTCTTCTTCTTCTTCTCTATGTTTTTTTTATCTTATCGTCTAATCCAGAAAATAATTTCGCGAAAAAGATAACACGACGTTAACTAAACGAAACGGAAAGTAATTAAAAACAAATTAGAAAAAAAAAAAAAAATACAAAAATACAATATAATTGGCTAACTTGACCGGTGTTTGTAAAACAAATCTTTTCTTTTTCTTTTTACAATTATTTAAATACAAAGTAAAATGTGCGTGTAAAAAAAAAAAAGTACAAATATTGTAGTTATCAACTTAAAGTTTAATAAGACGACTCTCTTTTATATTTCGAAATATTCAATGCGTGTGTATCGCGAAACTAAAGTTTCATGAGATCATCTGTCTCACAGTTTTAATTTGCTTGCAACGTTACCGATTATTCTCAGTTTGTTATTGTGTAATATCGAAATTGAAACACGTGTTTTTTTTTCTTGTATCGATGCGAGTTATTTCTGAAGTCGAATTGCACGTATCATGAAACTTACGAATCAATGCATGCAATATATTCCTTGTCATCGCAACACGTTAGAATGTGTGCATAAAGGTCTTTAGATGATAATTCATTTAAATGATTCACCCCCCATTGATTTGCATTAATTATGGACTGAAAATCATTTAAACTTCTTCTTCTTCTTATTATTATTGTTATCGTTATAGATAGGATGACCGAATGACGTACACCCATACATAGATAAACGCATGATACTTGTGTGTGTGTGTGTGTAAATTGATTAATAGACAGTTTGAGCGCGTGTATACGATTACCGATAACACCGTTTGTCTTCTTCCTTTTCTTATTCTTTTCTAGTTGCTTTATCGAAATTTTTATATTTAAATAAGAATAAGCGTATAAAAATTATTCAAATATATGTTCTATATATTTGTTCGCTACGATAAGCCAAGTTTCATTTTCTGTCTATCGATTATTTCTATGCGTCACATTCTTTTCTAATCCATTTTAATCGATATATTATTTGTAATTCGTCATTACCTAATCTTATATATATATATATATACTATATTATATATATATATATATATAATACGCACAGTCTGTTCAGTTGACCTATGCACTATTATAATAATCTTATTTTTACTGGAATAGAAAATTTCATTAATTAAATCTTATTCGTAATAGCAGATATCGGTCAATTTCGTGTTGAAAAATTCAAACGAATGATTAAAATTTACTTACAACGCTTTTCTAAGAAAGGCAAAAAAAAAGAAATTGATGAAGACACAAGAGGAATGAACATTAAGCAACGATCTCGTGTCGCGATAATCGTGTCATTAGGTCATCCAAAAGTTATCATTTTCTGAACTAATAAGCATGCTTAGAAGCGTGCTACCAATTTCGTAGATATGACGTAGAAATTTCGCGGTCACGTTGGGCCACGCGTTAAAAGCATGACGTGTATCACGTGATAATCTGTGATATATTATACACTTTCCTTATATATTTCGTTAACGTTTTATTATTTTATTTGGATTATTTTATAGGTTGTTGCCGTACACGTAGAGCCTGGTATCTTCGATTCTTACTACAATGGATGCTGTAATGGGACATTTTGGCCGCTATTTCACTCGATGCCAGATAGGGCAACTTTTATCGCTGAACATTGGCGTGCATATTCAACCGTCAATGAAGAATTCGCAGCCAAGACTGTGAGTTTATACTTAAAATAATGAAAAACGCACACCCACACACAATAATGATAGAGAAAAATAACAAAACGACAATTGATTTTTCTCTTTATCGTATCCATTAGGTCGGTGCTTTGGAGATGGTTCACAAAGAACAAGCGAATCCGACAAATGGTACTCCTCTTGTCTGGATTCACGATTATCATTTAATGTTGGCGGCCAATTGGGTTAGACAGGCTGCCGAGGACAAAGATCTCAAACTTAAATTGGGTTTCTTCCTACACATTCCATTTCCACCATGGGACATTTTTAGACTTTTCCCATGGGCTGACGAGATACTTCAGGGTATGCTCGGTTGCGACATGGTCGGCTTCCATATACAAAATTACTGCTTGAATTTTGTTGACTGTTGTCAAAGGAGTCTCGGCTGTAGGGTTGATCGTAAAAATTTGTTAGTTGAACACGGTGGTAGAACCGTACGCGTTAGACCACTCCCAATCGGCATACCTTTCGATAGATTTGTTTCTTTAGCTGAAACAGCTAATAAAGTTATGCTGACCAATCAGAAAATTGTTCTGGGAGTCGACAGACTCGATTATACCAAAGGTCTTGTACATCGTTTAAAAGCCTTTGAAATGTTGTTAGAGAAACATCCTCAACACCGTGAACAGGTAATCATGATTTTACTGATTCGTGTATTTCTTACATAGTTTAGGATCAACGATTACGATGGCATTGTTTGATTTGGCAGGTCACTATGCTGCAAATTGCGGTACCATCAAGAACGGACGTAAGAGAATATCAAGATTTGAAACTCGAGATGGATCAATTGATAGGATGTATTAATGGACGTTTTACGACACCCAATTGGTCACCCATTCGTTATATCTATGGTTGCGTTAGTCAAGACGAATTGGCGGCTTTCTACAGAGATGCTGCCGTTGCTCTGGTTACTCCATTAAGAGATGGCATGAATTTGGTAGCTAAGGAATTTGTTGCTTGTCAGATAAATACGCCACCAGGTGTTTTGATAGTATCACCTTTTGCTGGTGCCGGTGAGATGATGCACGAGGCTTTGATATGTAATCCTTATGAGATTGACGAGGCTGCTGAAGTGATTCATCGGTAAGCATATTTTCTTTTGCTGCTTTAAATGATCCCGTATTAAATTGTTTGTTCATTTCTTGACTGTTTGTTGGATCGACAGGGCTCTTACTATGCCGGAAGATGAGCGTACTTTAAGAATGAATCATTTGCGCCGTCGTGAAAGAATTTACGATGTTAATTATTGGATGAAATCTTTCCTTCAAGTAATGGGCTCACTCGAGGAACATGATTCTGTTGGTGCTACGACGATGCAACCGGTAACAATGGACGATTTTGACGATTACTTAAGCAAGTAGGTATACATTAAAGTTATGCGACGTGCATGACACTGGGCCCGACCAGCGCATGCGCTTTTCAAACGGGTTTGCGTTTTATATACGAATTGTTGTCTGATACATACTTGAGTATTTTTACACATTGTATATCGGTAATGATAACGGTAATAACGCTTATGGTAATGTATTCAAATTGCGTAAATAATTTAGCGTTCTTTAAAAAAAAGTAGTTGAAAAAAATATAAAAAGTCAGCATGAGTTTGGGTTGCGTCGTAATACGGAGCTTTTGCCATCGTGCGTATTATAATGAATTGTACAAATTTGATAACGAGTCTTGAGGAATCCATGTTTCTGGGAATGATCAACACAACAAATTACAAATGAATCTAAGCGGGGTTTGTTAATGATGGAAAAATTTTGGCGGGCCCGCGAATGCGACCACCTGACTCATGATGAAAGCCAGGTAACGACCCAGTGATAACACATGTCCCCTAGGTACATCGGCCATAATCACAAATTGGCTCTACTATTGGATTACGACGGAACCTTGGCACCGATTGCTACCCATCCAGATTTGGCGATCTTGCCGTTGGAAACGAAAAATGTTTTACAAAGGCTCTCCAATTTGTCCGACGTTTACATTGCCATAATATCCGGTAGAAACGTGAATAATGTTAAATCAATGGTTGGTATAGAAGGTATCACTTATGCTGGTAATCACGGCTTGGAAATTTTACATCCTGATGGAAGCAAATTCGTTCATCCTATGCCGGGCGAATTTGAAGGAAAAGTTGCCAATCTTATGCAGACTCTTCAAGAACAGGTACATTTATTAAATATAAATATTCATTTGTGAATATATTCGACAATAAAGTAATTCTTGTGATTATTTCTTTCCCTTATGTTAAATATTTTAAATAAACGTTTGTTTTTTGTTCTCTTTCTTTTACCGCGATTTACAAATAAAGTTGTGCAAGGACGGTGCATGGGTAGAAAACAAAGGAGCCTTGTTAACGTTTCACTATCGTGAGACACCAATGGAAAGACGCCCGGAAATGGTGGATCAGGCTAAGAAATTGATCGAGGACGCTGGTTTCAAAGCATGTTCAGCGCATTGTGCCATCGAGGCAAAGCCACCAGTCGAATGGAACAAAGGACGAGCTTCCATTTACATCCTTCGGACAGCTTTTGGTTTGGATTGGAGCGAACGAATTAGGATCATTTACGTTGGTGACGATGTCACCGATGAGGATGCTATGAGAGTTAGTATAATCATTTATTTCTGTGAATTCCATTTTTTTTCCAATAGAAAAATGTTTAAATAACAATTAAGAATAATTGGCAGAGAAATATGGCATAATAGTGATAGCAAATAATTATTATTGTCACCCCATACGAGTTCAAAGTGTTAACATATTTTTTAATCATTTATTTATAATTTACTTACAAACAAATTTCTTTTTGTTTTAGGCGTTAAAGGGTATGGCAGCAACCTTCCGCGTAGCTTCGTCTCACATTATTCGTACATCGGCAGAAAGACGTTTGCCAAGTACAGATTCCGTTTTGACTATGCTAAAATGGGTCGAGAGACATCTTAGTAAGCGTAAACCACGTAACAGTACCGATATTCAATCATCAAGATTTCGGCGCAGTAGTGCAGGTATCACCATGGAGATGTCATACACACCAGAATTAGAATCGTAGGCGTAATCTTTATTAGTATGTAAATTGTTTTCAACAAAATATGTAAGTGTGCTGATCTGATATCTATGACCAAATTCGGATCAATGTCGCCAGGCTTAAAAAACACAAAAAAAAAACATAATGTACTCTTACCATATAGTAAGGATAAATATGATAAATGATGAGAGAGAAAGAAGGAAACATAGAAATGAAAACGAAAAAAAAGAAAAAGGCGATAAGTAACAAGTATCTTGTCTGTAAAAAAAAAAAAAGAAATATAACAAACAAAGAAAAGTATGCACGATCTATAGATCGATCGATATCGAAGAGACTGTAATTTTGTAGAAACGTCGATCGTTTACAAAAAAAAAAAAAAGTAATCCTTGTTCCTTCATTATAATTTTCACGAGTATACGATCACAAACTTCCGCATGTGTGTGTCTGTGTGTGTGTGATGACGATACATAAAATATATTTTACATAATACATAAAAGAGATACAAGTATAGAAAATTTTAAAAATTTAGTTATAAAATGGTATTGAATCTGTCAATGTGAAATCAAATGATTTATTGTAATTCCTTTCTTTTGTTCTTATTTTTTTTTTTTCAATAGATCTTAATCTTAGGGAACTAGTCGGCTATTATTAGCCTGAGTCTTAAAATTAAACATATCCAAAGAATTTCTTTTGTTCTATTCAACGTGATAGAGAAGAAAGTCAGAGTTGAATGTGTTCTATTCATTAATTAATTGTACATTTACAAGAAATAGAACTTTGTTGTTTGAACTTGCATTAGCTCTTACGGTACTCATAGAAGAAGAAGAAGAAGAAGAAGAAGAAGAAGAAGTAGACGACGAAAAATATGAAAATGCTAATAATTTAGAATGGACTGTGGTATATTTTTTTTCTCTTTATTTTTACTATATTTTTCTAGAGAGGACAAAAAAGCGCAATAATAATAATAATACTAATAATAATAATAATATTTCTATCGAAAGAATTTTCTCCAAAGGATCTACCGATGTTTTATACGTCTTTTGCTTTCAACGTTATTTTGATATGATAATTGTTAAGATTGAAATCAACAAGTAATGGTTATTATGTAAGAGATGTGGTGGTAAAGAAGAATAATTTATAAGAAAAATTTAATTGTCAAGTGTTTTTTTTTTTCTTTTAATTATATATATCGTCACAAGTATCTTTTATTGTATACTTGGGATACCTATCTTTTTAAAAAAGAAAAGAATGAAAGTAAAATCTTGTTTGTTAGCAGATAAAGTTTGTTTTCCAATAGAACGACGCGTTACTCTTTTTAATAAAACTCTAAAGATTTATTATTTCATAAATTCTTTCAATTTCAAAATAAATTTCTTTTAAACAATTACAGTGCCAATTTGAAATCTTTCATATCGCGCAATATACATGGTAAACGTTAGTAATAAATGTCAATTTATTTAGGGATAAGGAAATCAAATGAAAGACATAAAAACGTCACGCACTTAACGTTAACATACACCTAATCTTTTATATGTGAATTTCCCAAAACAACCATATAGAAAAATGTGTGTATGAGCGATAGGATTCGCTAAAAAAAAAATATGAACAATAGTATACAATCGAATAAGTATAAAATATAATATTCTTATAGATTTTTTACTTTTACTAAATAGAGTAAGTCGTACCAAATGTTTATTTTTTTATAAGTTTTATAAGAAGAACGCATGCATTTTTATAAAAATTTATTGTAGTACCTCATGATACTTCCAATGATTTTAATTGAAGCCATTCAAAATGTGGAGAAATAAATGTCCTCGAAGAAAATTTTGATCTAGTGTCCATGTATTATGTGATTTTAATTAACGTTTATTATAATTAATATTAAGTTATATTTTATTATTATATCTATAGATGTGTATCTACAGATAATTATGTATATAAAAATTATGTTGAAAGAATCGAGCGTATATAATTGAACAAAAATTATATACATATTTAAAATTAACGCACACGTTGTTTCTGTGTGTGTGTGTGTGCGTTTGTGAGCGTTTTTTCGTCTTATCATTCAATTTCTTTTTCGTTTACAATTATATCAATAGTTCATAGAATGAGATCACTTAGCAATCATTTTATTTTTCTCTGAGTAACCTTTGCTTCTGTCGTCACGTATCTTAATGACCGATTAAAATTGTTTTGACGATGAAATTTCTGAAATAGGTCGGTGATTACTGCAACGACCCATCGCGAGTATCGCCATTACCAAGAATTTCTTTTATCAATGTACGAAATCCCGAACGGAACGTTTGATTAATTATTTTCATTAAATAATACTTTTGTTCCTACATATTCACATACACACATAACTTTTATGTATTCATCTATGTCTAAACTATATATTCTGTAATAAATAGATAAAAGAGTACATAATATCAATGAAATATTACGAATGTTCATAGAATTTAGATGTGTTTTAAAACAAAAAAATTCTTATAAAACACGACAAGATGCTTAACTAAAAAAAAAGACATATTTAATTTCGTTTACGTCAAAAACTGTAATTAAATTTAGATAAGAATCCAAGGATTTTATATAATTAATGCCACTAACGAGAATTATTATTCTTCGCAAGATAAGTTATTAATATTTCTTAATGTTACTTATATAATTTTTGTAGCATGCATTTTATTATCATTATTTGTAATATATGTTAGTATCTATTAATTATATAGTCGAATTAGTTATTAAATTTTTGTAGTTTGTAGATTTCTCATGCAACAATCTCCACGTGGTGAAATCTGGGTCGGTATTACTTTCGATTTATTCAAATCTAATTTACAATGTTTATTATCCATGTATTAAATTTAATTATTATTCAAACGATAGTTCATTTTTTTAAATATTAAAAAGCTAATAACTCTCTCTTTCTCTCTTAATTATATACTTAATTAATACTCATTTTATTTAAGTTCAAAGATATAAATTACAATATGTACAAAAAAAAAAAGATCCTTCGATTGGTTTCGAACACGAGTTATCGAATTCTTAGTCGAATACGCTAACAACGTTGCCAAACGTGTAGAATGCAATTAATGCAACTTAGATGCAACTTCCCACCATAAAAAATTAATAAAATGGCCGCAAGATGTAAGTGCAATCGGTGGTAGAACGTAAACAATTTGTCTAGAAAATAATTTGCATTAATTTTAAGATAATGGTCGATATTTTTCGGGTGTTTGCGTTATTGTTGCGTTTTTATCGATTATTGGTGTTAAGCTGATCACAGAATTAAGAAAAAGATGAGTAATTAAATGCACTTATTAAGAAAGGTGTTGGTGAATCTCGTCGTTCTTGCTGTTCTTTTGGTGGTACTTTATTGTTATCAAACATCATCAAACGTTTCACGTTGGATCGTGGGTCAGGGTGAAAATCGAAATGTTGAAAAATCTACAAACGATGAATTCATTTCAACCACCTTAAAGGAGACCAATAATTTATTTGTCAACATAACCTCAACGACAATCACTTTTCCAATTCCTACTATAACTAACACATATCAAAATAAATTGTTTTACAATGTTTGGTGTATATTCACCAAAGTCGGTACCAATTCACCGATGCGAAAAAAATTTCACGTTTTTACGGAATCCTTGCTTGCATTAGCTACCGTGGATATCGCTTTTCATGTGATAACTGATGATGATAGTCATACCATTGCGGATACCATAGTGCAAAATGTTATGTCGACTACTAACAAAACTATGAAAGTAAGTTATATCATTTGTATTAGTTAGATTTATACTTGACTGCTTTGTTTAGTTATCATCTTCATTATAGGTGCAATATTATAACGTACACGAGCTAGCTCAACAGTTGGAGGATATAGTTTCAGTCATGTCGCCGCATTTCAGTAGCAAACCTGGGACATACTACTCAGATGCACTTTTCTTTCTATCTCTCGGCTTGCATAGAATAGCTCCGCCTGATCAAAAACTAGCAGCTATGTTTGATGCAGATACAAAGTTTTGTAAAGATGTTAAAGAATTGTTTAAAGAGTTTGATAATTTTGGGGAAGAAGCTCTCTTTGGTTTAGCCCCAGAACTAAGTCCTGTATATCGGCATGTTTTGTACTTATATCGTAGCAGACACCCAAAGACCATGTTCGGAGAATCACCTCGTGTGGGTGGTTTTCCTGGTTTTAATAGTGGTATGATTCTATTTCATTTAGAAAGATTACGTAAGTCTTCCTTGTACGAAAAAATTGTTACTAAAGACAGCGTCGATGCTATGACTAATAAATATCATTTTAAGGTTTGTATTAATTAACAAAATTTTATATAGAAAAATTTTATAAGAATATTTCTTTATGATAATGGAGAATTTGTTTTTTACAGGGTCACCTGGGGGATCAAGATTTTTATACAGTATTAGGTATGGAACGACCCGAATTAATTTATAACATTGACTGCGGCTGGAATAGGCAATTGTGTACGTGGTGGAGGGATCGTGGTTACTCTGACGTATTCAATAATTATTCTCTCTGTAATTCGGAAACTAAATTATGGCATGGGAATTGCAATACTCCTATACCTGATCATTAAGTATTACAAATTCTAAATAGTGCCTTGTATTATTCAAAAAGTATTGGGAACAAAATATCGCGAATAGTTTAATTATTTGTTTAATCTGTGATACAAACTAAAGTATATTTTTTCTTGTTGAGTGGCAATATATAATCCAGAAACTTCCAATTATATTAAAAGAAAAGAATCTTTTTTAATATGCAATATTTAAATCTTGCAATTTACACTAATGTTAATTATTAAAAGAATAATTATTGTATTTTTATGGTGCATACAAAATATTTATCGTGTTAATACTTCTTTTTTATAATCAAGTATGTAATGCTTGATATAATTATAAATATTGTAATCTTATATATGTTATAATGATATTTTGTATCTGTTATTTTTCTATAAGTTGTAAAGTACAGTTAGACTAAGTTTCAATAAGAGAATAGATAGATAAATTGCCTGGAATATAAAGTTCTAGAATAATTCAATGAAATATCATTTATTTAAATTCGTTAATTGATGATTTTTTGATTAGGAAAAAAAGAAAATAATAAAACAGCAGAATATTTCGTAACGAAGATAAAAGTATAAATGACCGTAATCGAGTAATAACAGAAACGTATATATTCTGTATCGAAAATGTGTTAAGGTATACATCATACTACAGAGTTGTAATTTTAGCAGCATGTTTACAATAAAAATAGTGTTTGCTGTTTGCTTTGTTTTTCTCTCGCGTTATGCTGTAAAAGAAAATTTTCGAAAGCTTGTTTTTTAAATTTTAAATAAACGTATCTATCGGTTGCGTCTAACTGCTTTGTCATAAATCGACTGACCAGACTTCTTCAAAGACTATACTTCGTAATTATTTAAATAACATTCATTCTATAAATCTAAATTCGTTGTCGATATTGTAGAAGAAGAAATGTTACCTTTGGTCCCGTTTATAGAAACTTAATAAGTTATATTTATATAATGCAAAGATTTAGATATTAATTAATAATAAAAATAATAACATAATAATAATAATAATAATAATAATAATAATAGTAGTAATAATAATGTTAGCCAACACACACGAAGTTGCTATTAGTATTTTAAATATCATTCAGCCATAACTAAACTGGCTTTGGTGCATTTCTTTTTTTTTTTTTTTTAACAAGTATGACTTGACCAAAGCTAGAACCGAATGACATTGTAAAATTAAAAACTTGACAAACTTTTTTTTCCATTTTTTTTCTTCATTATTTTTATAACAATTTAAACGATCATAGATCGTTCCTTCGATAGAACAACAAGCATTAATTACCTTTTACAAATAAACATTCCCAAACTCGATCTTACGATCAATATTTTACGCAATTAGCAGTACATATATACATGCTCGATCATATTTTATGACAACATACCAGTGTCATCAGGCTTTCTGTACAATATATTTACACATAGTTTAATACGTAGAATGACTTTTATAGAAACATCTATTCGAAAGAAAAAAAGAGAGAGCGAAAGAACAAATCTCAACGTAGAAAATAGAAATAAATGAAATATAATAATGGGCAATATTATTGAAAGAAAAAAAATATTACAAATGGCACTATCTTTCAAATAAATGAAAATGACAAACTTTTTTGTTTTTTTTTTTAACGATTATTCAATTCAACGGAATCTGTTCATTTGAATGTTCTATTAATGAAAAAAAAAAGATATTCAACTTCTCTTTCTTTCTTTATTGTGATAGATGTGGGTAGATTAATTTTGAAATATAATAAATCCCACGTATATTTCTCTATGATTTATACTTACAATAGCTGCGCATTAATTAGAGCATCAAGAAAAGCACCAACATCATTTCTTTGTAATTTAACGAAGATAACATATCTCTCTGTTCGATCATTCGATTGATTCAAATGATCTTACAATTAATTTTACGCGAGACACGAACGCAATACAAGGCTTAGAATACTATGTATTTACACAATCTAATTCATAATATTCAGGAGTCTTCTTCTTTCTTTTTTTTCTTCCATATCGTCGCTTTAATTAATTTTAGTTTTAAATAACTGCGATGACTACCGAGTACCGTTTTATACGTAGTATACATACATACATAAGATAAGATAAGATAAGATAAGACAAGAGAAGAAAATAGAAAATAAGAAAAGAAATAGGGGAAGAAACGTTTGCAGTTTACTTTCAATGAACTCTTGGTTATGCGGTACCTTACCATTATGACTGTCAACAATTATTATTAATATTTATTTTTTAATACCTCTCAGCAGCCTAAAATAAGACAGTAAATTAGAATAATTTGTGTTGTTACATATACGAGATATCCTACAAATCGCTTTACCTAATCGAACCATTTTCTTATAATTTTGTTATTTTGAATTGTATGCAGATTGAAAAATTATAAATCGGCAAAAGCGAGAAAATTGTGGGACACCTCGCGTATTATAAATGAAGATTAGACATTTATAAAATACTTACATTCTTTAATTTTCCGCGACCCCCAAAATTTCTAATCGACTCCAATAGCATATCTCTAGAATCTATGTTAATCGGCATTGACTTTGGTCTCGCGTTAGCACTTTTTAATGTGACACCCATAATCACAGGCATCGTGGGAGCTTTGGGTGGTTGTCCATCGACGACATCTTTATTTTGATTCATTTTATCAATCTTGTTTATTTTAGATTCTGTAAAAGGTATCGTCGATACTTTGAATCCTTTAACAACCGGCGCAGATATTGGGTGAATCTTTATGTTGTTAACGTTATTTTTTAACGACACGTTATTGTTCTTTTGCACGTACTGATCCTGATGACGATGATTATAAGAATTTATTCCCACTATCGAAGTGAATTGTTTCTTTTCGGTTGTACCGAAATTAGAATTATTATTTTCGTTGATCGACGATGCATGATGATTCTTTTGGAAAGTATTCTTTTTCGTTATAGGAAATTCATCGAGTTTCGCGTGACCATTTTGTTTATTGGTTTCTATACTCTTACGAATGAATTCCTGCTGCGAACCGTAATATTCCGAATGTCTGTTTGGATTACTTCGTTGCGGTTTTATCCTTTGATCTATATCCAAACGAAAGGTCTTTGTCAATTCTTGGAAATTCAACGGCGTCGTATCGATCAACTTTTCATTATCTTTGTCATTAGCTTTTTGACGTCGTGTTTCTTCGTTCTCTTCAACGTTGGTCTTTTTTAATTCAACGCTCGTTACTATCGGCCTTTCCTCGTTTTTCGTTTTATTCAAAGTTACCTTCTTAAATCCGGATGCAGTTGCGTGCGTAATAAACTTTTTCGTAAAATCATCCGGTTCTCGTTTCTCATTTATTTCTTTAGATTGTTCTTTAACATTCGAAGGTACCATTGTCACGTTATTCTGAACAAATTTGTCTTTACCAAATTTATAATCTGTATCCATTTTAATCTGAACCTTGACGGATGGTCTTTCAGACCAACTTCCTAAACTTATTGCCGGTGGACCGTTATAAACGTAACGACGTTTCGTGTTAGTTTCTTTTTGCATCGTACTTTTATTCTCATCCTGCGCCGTTACGTGAGATTCGCCGTGTGTCGAAAACACGTTAGGCGTTACCGAATTTTCATTGGATTCTGTTTCGAACCTGGTGGACAACGAATTTATAATTGTTTTACTATGAAAATATCATTTCTCAATAATTTTTATTATAGATTTATTTTCCTTGGAAAAGTGCATTTGATTTACCTGTTTTTCACTTTCTCACGCAATCCAACGTTCCGTTCTTTCGATACATTTTCTTCCGCTGGTTGTGAGTTCGTCAACTGCGGTAAAATGTTTTTTAATACCTATCGAACAAAATAAATAGATAAATATTATAATATTAAAAAAGTGAAATATATAAATAGTCTTACCTGTAAAGATTGTAATTGTTTTTCTTTGGTAGTTTCCTCTTGTCGTTTCAACATATTTTCTCTCCATTGTGAAAACTTGTCGTTGGTACGTGATGGTGTATTAACAATTTGTTTTGAATCATTAACGTTCGATGATACTGCGTTATCCGATTTTCCGATTTTAACATCGATCATCCTATTATCTTCGATTTCATTTTTCAATTTAGGTTTACATATCGTAGACGCATGACTCTTGGATCGTTGAACAATATCGATTTTAGATTCGACATCGTTATTAGAAATCTTTGGCTCTATTTTTTTATTCCGACTAGGCTCGTCTCCGAGTTGACTACTATCCTTCTCATCCTTAAATATATCTATACTTTTTTGACGAGTATACGTGGTGATCGTAAAATTCGACAAGGTGTTGTCAATTGGTGCAACATTTGGCGTTACCTTTAAATTATTGTTTAAAACTTTCCTCGAATCGGATTCTTTATTCGACCGAGACAACGTTCCCTTTTCAATTTTATTTTCAAGTTCTAAAATAATTTCCTTTTTGTTACATTTCTGTAACAAATTGTTCTTATGCGTTTCCACAATAATTTGCTTATTTCGATTTTTCTCGATCGTCATGGTTTTCCTTTCGGTGTCATTTATTCGATTCAAGCTCGACGATTCGTCGTTATTCGTATCGTCACGATTTTCAACGAGTTTTTCTTTAAACGCATCAACCGATCTCAAAGTAACTGTGTCGTACCCGTCAAAAATTTGCGAATCGTTATCCCGGAATGCACTCGGTGGTGCTGGTAATTGATATTCCCAATCAGCTATCGAGGAATCTTCTTCAAGTGCGGATACGTAATCCGAAGTATCCTGTTGGTTTTTCATTTCTTCGTTTTCCTTGACTGATTTCTCTCGACAATTTGCATTCTTTTTTTTCATCACCGAATAAACGTTATCGGTTTCTTCGTTGGATGATGTCAACGACGACGATGATAAAGTTTCGGACACTTTATGCAACAAAACATCGGTGTCGCATAATTTCTTATCAACATCTAAATAAAATAATGCACACAATCGTTAAAATAATGAAAATTATAATTCGATAAATTTCAAGATTAAGATTAAAATATAAATAATTGAAATTAAAACTTGTTAAACATCAAATTCTAGAAACAAATTGGCGAGTATTATAAAACCAATTAGCATGCAAAGCCATGGTAAACGATTGAACGTATTGATTGTTAGTAATACGTGTAATTAGGTATTTATATATACTGGGTGGTTATTAATCCTTTCGTTAATAACGACGATTATTTTTAGAATAAAATTATAAATGATTTTGCTGTCATAATTATTCAGTACAGCGACAAAGAGCATAGCAATGAAAATCAAAGTTGTATAGAAGAAATTCAGTTGATCACAATTTATAGAAAATATTAAAATACTTTTCTCATTTTGCTAGGAATTATCCAATTTAAAAAACCACCCTGTATACACATATATACGAGTATATATAAATAATTTATACGTGGGTGAATTAAGAAATGTTTGGAGCCTAAAATAGAATTTTTGTCAATCGAAAATGAACTTTCATTGAAAGAATAAGAAAATAAAAAAAACCCATGAAATGATGTTGTACTGTCTCGGCTCAAAACTTTTCTAATCCAGCCTCGTGTGGTGTAGCAAACGTGCACCTGATATCCCCTCTACTGCGTTAGCCCTTTCCATCTGCCCGTTATTCTTCTCTACGTCGGATTCTTTATCGGATTCTTTATCGGATTTGTACATCAGATTCAAATTCAAAGCGAACGTAAAATCGCTTGATTGCGACGTGAAATGTCTTTTCTTTCTTTTCAATTTATCGATTTGAAAATCGTTCAATTCGGACGGACTGCGATAAACCTTGGGTCGTTTAGTGCTTTTAGAAATATCCTCAAAAATTCCATCATCCTTGATCAACGTAAAATCCTCGAAATCATTCTCATTCTTTTCCGATATTTCATCATCATTTTTTTCCACGAGTCTACTGCAACTGGACGATTTCTTTCTCGAACTTTTGAAATGATTGCACTTTGGTATCATTGATATCACCGTACAAGATTTGTACGATGAATTAGAATCAACGTTGTATAAATCGTTCATGCTCTTAGTGTGTTTAGTAAAAATAAGATTAGTTCGTAATTTGTCATCTTCCAACGAAGCTGAATTATTTTCATCAATTTCCGATGAAACTATTTCCATGTGTTTTGCCTCGAATTCGATTCCACCGGACGAGGAAGAGGAAATGGAAGAGCAGACATCTTCCGAAGTATTCGTCGTATTCGAAATTATTGACGAATTATCTAGATAATCCTTACTCAGCGATCTAGGTAGAACTACAGGTCGCACTAATTTACGTTTTGGTACTGGCGGAGGTAGTACTGCTGTTGATTTCCCTTCTAGTCTTACAACGTTGCGTGGTTTGGGCAAGGGTGCTAACTCTTCAGCTGATACCATTTCTACGGGGATACCCGAACACCATCACCATAAAAATAAAAAAACAGAAAGACAAAGAAAAACAGACAGATGAGAAAATAATGATTGAAATCTAATAGAGCGATAGTAGATAGATAGATAGATAGATAGATAGATAGGGGTGGTGGGGTTTGTTGTTAGTAAGCTTCTTTTTAAATGGTTCATGCTGATTTCGAAAATAAAATTGGGATAGTTGCAGGATTCGGTAAATCTATTTATCTACGTATATTCTACATGAATGCAAATAAAAGAAAAGAATTTCTATTGTCTTGACAATTTTTTTTTTTTAGATTTCGTATATAGGAACTATTTTGTTTTTTTTTACATTATTTATTAGAGAACGTGGGTATTTGGTAAAAGAATATAAAAAGAAATTAAACAAGAACGTATATGCGAGTAGCTATAAAGATTTCAATTTTGATCATAAAACTATATAAAGAAAGATACAAATAATTATATGCATTTGTTTTTTTTTATAAATTTATCATACTTAAACGAATTCTCCGACTCTACTTTCGAGTATAGAATTTAATTGTATCAAAAATTGATTCCAACTCTCGTTTGATTCCTGACGACTGACCAATCCCGGTGGTGGTGGTTCTAAAATGCTTAATTTTTTGTCAAGTTCCAATTTGTTTTCCGAATGTGGTATGATTGGCAACGAAGGTAATTTTTCGATATCATCTGGTATGGATTCTATCGGTGCTATTTGGATATCCAACGGTTTAGTGGATATCGCAAAAATCTGAAGATTACTCAATGGTGGTGGTGACAAATTGTTTCTACCAATGATGGTAGAATTAAAATCAAAATCAAAATCGTTCTGACTTGAAACGATTGAACCGTCGTAACATTTGGTCGTTTTAACGTCACCCAATTTTGCCATTTGATCTTTGTACATCGAGAATGATGACAATTTATTCGAATTTTCTTGACGCGAATTAAAACTGTGCGAACTTGTCAAAGAATTTTTCTCATAAGCGTTAACGATCTTGGTCTCTTTCAATTTGTCACAATTTTGAAAACTAATACTGTGCTTCAACATTTTATTATGACACTTTTCATTGCATAAATAATTGTTAACGTGTAATCTCGTAGGACTGTATCTGCTCTCGAGTATACCACATTCGGGCATAGTTTCTAAATCCGTATCTATGTCGTCCAAATTGACAATCGCTTTCATTTTGATCAATCTATTGTTAGAAGATTTTTTCAAATGATACACATTCGGAATGATAATATCTTCTTGACTTTTGCCACGATTAAACGATGCCGTTGTATCTTTCCTATCGATAGAAAATACCTTGTTGCATTCTATAAAACTTCGAGACTTTTGAAGTTTCGAATTGGTCGAATTGAAAATTGTATTATCGATTGGATTAGAGAATTCATTTTTAGTACGATGATTGGATTCGTTTAAGTCGAAATTTGGATGAAATCTTTCGTGCGATTCGCAAACGTTCTCCAAACTGTTTCTACTGACAAAACTATAAGAGGGTAGTAAATAACTGTCTATAGTATTTGGATTATGCACTAGCTTACCTCTTTTAACATCTACTCTAGCGTTTTCTACTTTGACAGGATCCTCAACTACTTTAACGTCCGAAATTAGGAAATCCGAGCTTTTATCGTTGTTCATATTATCCACCGAGTGATCAGATTTGTTGTCAATGATGATCGTGCTAACGCCGATATCCGATGATGCTTTAGAAGGTACACCGATATCGGATGGTGGCTTGGAGGGATCCATATCGGAAGTTAAAGATTCTTCGGAATCGTCTATACGTTCTAAAGCTTGAGTCGAGATGGCTGATGATAGTGGCCTTGAAACTGGCGGAGGTGGAGCAGCACGTTTTTTCTTGAAACCTGCGAATAATAGAATTTTATCTTTAGACATTATTCGGAAACGTACGTGCGTTTACATCGAACAAACTAAAATTGTGTATGTTCTACGAAAGAGAAAGTATCTGATATTCTGTGACAAGACGAGACAAGAAAGAAGAAGTATAGAGAAAGAGATTTTCTTCAATTTCCACTAAAGTCTACGAGCAAGGTACACACTTAAAGTGACTTACTTGAATTCGAGTCTGCTCGGAACGTAGGCAAGGTAAAGAGAGATCGTGATGAAACCGGTTAGCACGTACGTTATATACGTAAGTATATATGTATTTATATATATATATATATGTATGTGTACGTTCGATAAAAAAAGTTAAAAGTAAAATAAGTAGAAAAAGAGAGTAAGGGGAAAATGATCTTACCGGTGGAGCTGAGGGAGGAGCTACTGAGGGCCCGATCAAGAGATGTTCCGGATGCAGTTACCGCGAGATTACCGAGACTTTTACTGGACTGCGATGTATGAGCGAGTTTTCTAGGAGTTTCGTTTGTACCAGGAGCTCTATTTCTTCTCGGTAAAGTCTCTGGTAATCTACCAGCAGTATCTGGATTGTCACTTAGTACAGAAGCCTCGTGGTATCCTGAACTGTCGCTGCTATTTCGACTGTGACCAATGAGCATTTTTTCTTTAGATGATTCAGCATTCATAGTTCTCGTTGTTCTGTTTGACGTTGCTGTTGCCGTCATAGTAGTTGTCGCTATGGTACTGTTAGTTGTACTAGCTTGTTCTTGTTGTTGTTGTAGTTGTTCCTGATTAGAAGAAGCTGGTGGTTTAGGTGCTAGTCTTCTTTTTCTTTGAGGTCTCGTTGGTGGTTGAAGCGGACTGGCACTTCTTCCAGTTTCATCGCTCCTAGCCGGTGACACACTTCGGCCTTCTAAACTGTCAGTGCTAACCGAACTTTCCTTAGACTTTTTAAACATAAATCCGAATACACTTTGTTTAGCTTGCTGCCTACGTCTCTCTTCTTGCCTTTGCAACGCCATTATGTCTTGCGAGCTCAAAGCAGAACCCAAAGTTCTACCTTGTTTCGCGTAAAGGGTTACTTCCTGTAGATGATAGTCTTGTAGGGATAGGTTTAAGTCCAATATTTCTTCCAAGTTAACTGAAATCAACAAAAAACCTCAATAATAATAATAATAATAATAAAAAAAAAGATATTGAAATTCGATCGTTGGAATGTTATCTCTACCATAGAACGAATACGACGACGAGTAAGAAGACTACGGAGCAAAACGATGACCAAGAACACGATCGGTGCTAACGAGTGGTAGAACCAGCCAAGACATTTTCGCGATAACGATCTTCTTTAACAACTAGCCCCCTATAACCGGCTAACTATAATTCCTCGGTGCTTAAAATCGTTTCCGAGCAAGCAAACCTTTTCCAAGGGGCTTTGATAAACTCAACATTGTTATCGTTTAAACCTTTCGCAAATCTATACAAACAGCGAATCGAATTTAACCGATTTTAACTGATAATTAATCAGATTATTCTATTTAATTGAATCAATCTGATTATGATTTTGGTCTACTTCTCTTAGGTTTTTTCTTTTCTTTTCTTTTCTATTTTTATGAAGATATGACCGAGTACAGGAAAAAGCATTGTTTTTTTTTTCTCTACAAAATTGGATTGCTACCTGTATAATCCGCCGATGGGCTTCGGAAACCATATAATATGAATCTTACGATCGTATTAGAATCGATGCGACGCGAAATAAAAAGACGTTGAACTTTGTCGTTAGGAGCTAATCAAATATTTATTATATGTTCACTATGATAATTATTATTTTTGTTTTATAATTAAAAATATTTCTTTGAAATAAATCTTTTACCGTACGCGATCCAACGTATCAATAAACAAAACGAAAAATCATTGATATTCCTCAATATACTCACAAAATTCAGAGAAACTTGGGTTCTCAGGTAAGCGACGAGTTTATCGATGACGAACGCGAATGAAAAAAAATATTTGAATAATCATTCGTCGCGATGTATAGAAATATCAAGAATAACAAAATTCCTCGTCCTGGTTTTACGATTATTGGTCAATGAAATTGTTTCTTTTAGTTTTCATGAATTATTATTAACACGTTTACTTTTAACACACTTGAATGCGTTAACGAATACGTTAAACATTCGTCTTAAAAATGAGAGATCGTTACTTAAGTCGTTTAATTAATCCACACTGCGATATTGTCACTGATATAATAAGTTTTAATAAACATAAACTCGGACTCGTTAGAAACGTTATCGATATCGAAGCCTTGGGGTTTCTTATCTCAGTCTTTTTCTAAAAGATAAAGAATGTTTTCTGTCTTTTCGTAAACCAGTAATCAAAGTGAAAAGAATTCAATCGATTCTGCACGTAACTATTTACTACTACTACTACTACTATTACTACATTAATTCAAATGCACTGCGAAGAGACGAATGAAAGAAAAATAAAAGGAAGAAAAAATATGTAGGTGGGATATCGTCTTGTATATTACGTGTCATATGTTTTTAACGTTTGCTAATTTAACATTGAAAATACGTGTCTATGCATCTATGTATCTATTCTTGTATATCTGTGTATGTATATTTATATACGTGCATTAACGCTTACCTGGATGACGTAGCTCGTACTTGTGTTTGTCTAGATTCTTCTCACGGCACACTTCGTTAAGAATTTCTCCTAGATTCATTTTCGGACTGACTCTCGAAACGTACAATTGATTTCTCGGTAAATGTACCTATATATAAAAAATAAATTTATTAAGAGATAATTCCTTATTCACACTTTTTTTTCTCCTTCTATTTTTTTGTGTTTTGTTTTTATTTTATTGAATAATATATTGTACAATATACACGACAATAAATAATATTAATTGTAAGATTAACGAAAGTGACAAATTTTCAGCCTAACACATAGAGAATGTGTGTGTGTATTATCAAATTTATTAAAGAAACAAAAAGACAAACGAACAAGAAACTTTTTGACTATAAACATTACCTAATAAATTGTCGAACTAATGTACGAGAGAGAGAGAAAAAAAAAAAAAAGTAAAAGTGTGACGAATATGTCATTTAAAAAATCTCTCATTTCTTTCTTTTTTTTTTTTTTTTTACCTGCAATCTGAACGTCGTTTCGAAAGGTTGATTCGCGTGTTTCACCTTTTTCGGTACGAACGTACATTGCTTCGGAAGTAATTTAACCTGAAAACGAATGAAAAAGAAATATTGTGTACGCGTTTCGTTCGAATTATATATATATAAGTTTTACGTGTTTTCGATTACGCGTTTAAAAAAACAAATCACGATAATAAATAGATAATAATTATTGTTATAATAGATTACCTGTAGTGCATCTAGCGCACCTATCGGTGTGTTTGGTTGATGAGGTAAAACTAATCCACGTTCTCCTATTGCTTGCAAGGTGTAATTCGAAGCTGCCAATTTGTGAGCCGTTGCTATTTGAACGAGAAGATCCATCATCGGAGTACTGCAATAATAATAACAAAAAAAAAAAAAAAAAAAAAAAAAAAAGAAAAAAAAAAAGAAAAAAAAAATAGAGAAGAACGATACAATTGCAAAGCAATTTTTTTTTTCATCTAACATCTATTTAACACACTTCATCGATTTATCGACCATTTTTCTTTTACCCTATCTCGATTCCAACGCGTTAATAATAATAATAATAATAATACGCGTTTAGTTTTCAATCGATTCGAATTATTCATTCGATATTGCGCAGTTAAAATGAATAATTTAAATGAATACAGACGTTAAGAAGTCGTAAAAGTTTATAAGTATATTGCTAATCGAATACAATTTCATTTTGAACGTGCATATATGTATTTACAAATGTCATAATTTTAGATTTTATTAAAAAATTGTTCGTCGTAAGAAAACAAGAAAGTAACCGAGTTATTTAACATTTGAATATGTTCAATGATCACGAACTTGTGTTTTTAACATTCTCGTCCGAAACTTAAAAAGAAATTCTATCGTATTAAATAATATCAAACAAGTTGTTTATTATTTTACCGATGAAACGACTGCAGTCTACTGGCCAATTAAATTTTGATTACATATATCACGTTACGAAAATGTAGACATTAAAATAATATGTCAATTATTTAATGAACTGTAATAAAGATAGTGACGTTTTATAATCTAATCTCTGTGCACGTGTGTGTCTGTCTGTCTGTGCTTATTTTTATGACACACAAAAAAATGCGTATCGCACGTTTAAAGTTTAGCCTAATTTTTCTTTCCGAGTTTGGGACGAGGAAGGTTGAATTACGTCAGAATCTCGCACGAGTACGATAAACGATCCGCATAAATAAATCTAAACTAACAAGTAGAACTGTGTGTTACGAAGCAACAAGTTCGCTTTCAATTAGCATATTAATTAGGAGCGATGGAAGAATTTCTAACGCACTTAATATGGTCTCGAGAGATGTTATAAAAAATATATAAAATAAGAAAAATATATATACGATTGGAAAAACGTCGTACCTCCTCTGTACGGTAACTCTTTGAGTATGAAGATGATGCTCGCGTGGAAGTTGGACCAAAAGTTCCATACTTCCAGCCAGCATATCTGCTGGAGTGTCCTCGGTTACAGTAAGAACCATTCCGGATGGTCTCTCCTCTCTGTTGCTCCTGAAATCAAATAATGCAAAGCTTTTCACATTTTTTTTAATTTCTGTTTTATATCTTCATTTCGTATACTTCATAGAAGTATTTTATTTTTTTTACATATATATTATATATTTTTTATATTATTATATTATTTGTTATTATTATTATATGGAAGATATTTCGTATTTTCTTACATTACGATTAATGATTGAACTCTGTAACAAGATATTCCTGAACTTCGATATATGATAGAGATACAATGATACATTCAAGATCGGATCATTTCCTATAATTTGATATACACTATGATCACACTCTTCTCTTTTACATTATTATCTAGCAATAATATCGATTATCGAATACCCTAATTATTTTATCTTAAACATACATTTTATTTTTTAATTGTATCCTTTATTGTTAACCAATATTTCTCTTTCTGTTCATAATTATGGACAATATAAGAATGGAAAAATAAAAATATATGTATATATATATAGAGAGAGAGAAAGAGACATAGAAATAATTGATAGACATTAGAATAAAATTGCAGATAGTTTGTTGTTGGTTTTAAATGATGCAACATTTCGACGAAACGTTTGCTGATGAACAGCAGCAATAGCAGCAACTTCTATATACATGTGTGCAAGTAAATAAGTAATATATATATATATATATATATATATATATATATGTGTGTATAGATGTGTGTAACGCGTATGGATACCTCGTGGTAGAAAACGTGCGTACTTTCGATCAGTTTCCCGTAGTAAACTCTAGGAGTTTAACTCCGGCAGTTGGACATGCTTTCTCCTTGGTGTTTGTAACTTATATCACGTGGACGTACACGCGTTTTCTTAGACTTGTCGTGTCCTCTCGAGAAGAAGAAGAAGAAGAAGAAGAAGAAAAAGAAAGAAGAAGAAGAAAACCGGTCGAGATTATCCATCGGTAAGAGCGTCCTCTTTTCGTCATTGATAAAGTATCAGATACTTTTTAACGAGTATCACTTTTATATTACATTTAATATCGAAGCAAAAAGAAAGAAAGAAAAAAACTCACATGGGTAAATATTTATTGCCATTCGAAATTTCACTTGTCAATGGTTTCTGGATATTCGCCAGAATTGGCCTGTTAACTCAACACGCATCGTTGAACTTTCTCGAACTCGTTCAATTATAGAAATTAGATCGTGCTTAGATTTCTTTAAGAATAAGAAGAGGGGAAAGATTTTATACTAGCGCCAAGTATTCGTCGCGCGATTCCTCTTGAAAGATTCTCAGGAAAGTTGTTCGGGTTACTTTGGTAATACAAGAAAGGAAAGAGAGAATAGTGTGCGAACTAGTTTAGAATTCTAAATATCTAGAATCTGTTTGATTATTGTTAAATACATACCACTTATTATTTACTTTCATTCTGATATTATTATCTTTTATCAATTATAATTCTCTATCGCGTAATTATTTCATATTTCATTGAAATTATTTATTTTAGCAAGTAGACTTAAAAGATTTGGAATAAAATTTTGATTAAATAATAATATAATTATATACTGTTTATAACAGATTTATCATATTTATTATTTATAATTCTTACTGAGAATTGATTGTAGAATTATTTTTTTATCGATTAACAAATAATTATTTGATGAAATATTCTTTTTTTTTTTCTTACTAACACGAGAATAAGTTATCAATCATCATCTTTTTTTTCTTCTAATAATTTTTGTTTTTATTTTCGAAGGAAGTTGAGACGTTCATCGGGCAACTCTCGAAGTGATTTGAATGCGCGACGAGAACGAGTCGTCCGTCTCGGCGGAGTCTCCCACCCAAGGCGCCATATTTTTTCCTATTTTTCCTTTATTCACATTTTATTTTCCTCTCGTTCCCCTATCGACAGGAGGAGATTCCGATCGTTTCTACGGATATCGTTTGGATTCTTCGATTCTTCGATCGTCGCCACGACGAATACGCATATTCACGTCGGCCAAGGCACGTGATCATTTTAACAATTATATTCTCAACAACAACGAACGGAAAACAAACGTGCTCGGCGAACAAAACCCCAACTAAGAAATCTATATTGATTTAACAATTCGATCGTACTTATTCGCGATAGTCATTTCGTTTGTTTAAAAACAATGATCAAAATGAAAAGAATGAGTCTTAAAAATCATGATTTTCAATTTAAAAAATACTCGATTAAAACTATATTTATAATTTCAAATCAATTGTTTTCCTCTAATGATTTTAATTGAACATCCATTAATTAAATTCATTCCTACGTAATGTTAAATAATAAATGACACAATGATTATTATATTTTAAATTGATTATTAACAAATAAAATGAGTATACTTAAATGATTTTTCAAGTAAAAGGGGGACAAAAAGAAAAAAAGGTAAACGGAGATGAAGAATCCGGTAAAATTTCAATCGAATCAGAACTTTCGTAATCGATTCGACGAAAGTCCTCGTCGCGGTTGCAGCCTGCATTTTCTTTTTTTTCTCATTCGTGCTTATGCTTCTTCTTCTTCTTCTTCTTTTTCTTCTTCTTTGCCGATTGGGACGACGACGGGTTACATAAGATTTTATGTAGAGAGACGGTGAACGCGTATACGACGATTGCACAAGTTAACGTTAGAGTGAAACGTTAAAAAAGGGAATAAAACGTGTTGTTCTATTCTATCCCTCAGCTTGACAAACGTTCTCATTTTTTTTCATATCGTTTAATTTTCCTCCTCCACCAATGACCAAGAATTAACGAGAAGATAATTGATCTAACTAACTTGTTGTCTCTCCTAAATGATATATAATAAATAAAAAACATTGTTTTTCTTGAAAAATCACTCTGATATTCCATTTAAATCATTAACGAACGATTAAAAACGAGACAACGTATTAATTCGAGAGAATTCCTTTAGAAAATTCTCAGCTTTCACTTGGTGCCGGAAAACGAAGAATCCAACGTGCGACGTAACAACGATTCAAACAAATCTTCAAACTTGTCTGTGAATATTTTCTCATAGTTACGCAATATGCCAATACAACATTAAAACAATATTTTAAAAACTAGCATCTCGTGTAATCTGTTCCGGTCCTAGGATCAAAAAAAAAAGAAAAAAAGAAAGAAAGAAAGTAAACATTGAGCAAGAAGGGTTGGTGAAAGCAACAGGTGAAATAAAGAAAGAAAGCTTATCTTTGGTGTGTAATATATTCGTAACTATACATCAGGCGTGAACAGGTATTACATTGAAGTAACTAAGTGATCTGAAGTAATGTCATTTAATTGCTATATCACATAATCATAATAATTACATATATATATGTATAGAAATGAGATAGAAGTAGAATAATAGTCGAGTTGTGTTGTATGTTGTTATCGATAGTCGATATCTAACTATAAGTCTTGCACATTGTAACATAAGTGAGCGAATGCAAGCAAGCAAGCAAGAAGCAAGCAAGCAAGCAAGATCGAGCTCAGGAGGGCAACGTCCCAAGTGGCCTTGCTCGCGACCTCCTCGCAGCCTCTACTCCTGCGAGAGAGGAAATAAGAAAAAGATAGAAATAAGGATAGATGTGGAGATAGAAATAACGCAAGTGTGATATAGAGAAAACTCCACACGCACTTAGGTTTTATTCTCAGTAAGATGAAGAGTTGTTTTACTTATGTGAAGTTTACCGCGAAACAAACAAGACATTGCAATTAGTTGAACGATTATAGCTGTTAATGTTTTCTGCAAAAGTCCACTTATAGACAACGCGACGATCATTTATGATGACAACGATGACAACGATTACGATGAGTGGATGGATGACGAGGAGACGGCCTTGAAATCAATCAAAAGGAAAAAAAAAAACATTTCTTCCAAGTAGATTCGAGAGTATTCTGTCTGTCTGTCTTTGAGAGAAATAACACAGCTCATGCATGATCGGTTCGTTGGTTGGTTAGTTGGTTTGACTCGTTATACTCTTGTGTGAGAAACCAATCGTTTGTTTCGTCCTCTCCTCTCCTCTCTCTCTCTCTCTCTCTCTCAGGTTTGTAACGACGACGAACGTCGAATGATCAGAGAGAGAGAGAGAGAGAGAGAGACCCCCTTCGTTCCACTTTCTCTTTAATTAACCGGATTGCTATGGGCAACGCGAGCTGATTCCTTTTTCTTTTTTTATTTATTTTTTTCTTACATTTTCGACACGCGAAACACCAAACCGGGAGAGACGCTATACTTATTTGGACTGTTAAGAATTTATCAAGGGGGAATTTGACTAATCGAAAACATGAATTATTATTTCTTTTCTTTTCTTTTAACTTTTGTTCGTTTGCGTTAATAGTTCAAGTCTAAGATGGTTGACTTGAATTAACACGTGCTGCTGATGGTATCAGATTAAACGTGACGTCGTTTCAAATTCATGAAATAATTATTAAGTTGTTAATGTAATTAGGTTTAATGATTAATACGTTGCAATTGATATTAAATTAATTCGATTAAGCTTTTGAACTTTTGTTTGTCAAGGCATTCGATAATTGCTTAAATGATCCACCAATGTTCATCGAAAATAATGGAAATTCATTTGGAATAAAATAACAGACTTATGATTATTTTATAAAGTAATTGTTGCAACTATCGTAACACGAAAGAAGGAAGAGAGTCATATATTTCAATTCGCGAATTGAAAAACTTCATGTCAATTTTCGTGTCACATTCCTCGAGAATATATTCTTGTTCCTCGATTATGCAATCCTTCTTGGCAAATAACGCACGTTCGTGGGAGTCGTAACGCGTACCAAGTAACCAAGTATGTATTTTAATAGTTCATAACATGTATACTCCCACCTCATCCATTTTCTCATAGTGAACAAATCATCCATCAGTATTGTTTTTTTTTCAATTTTTTTTAAAAACGTATACCTCAATATTGTATAATAATAAAATGAAAAAAACTATGGCGAGTGCAATTAACTAAAATGATTGACTTCCGATATCGAAGGAAAGAGTTTATTATAGTTATAAGTATTATAGTTCAATAA